CGCCCCCGGCCCCCCCCCCCGGAACTTCTGGGGGCAGAGGGAGGCTGAGCCATGCCCCCCCCCGGCCCTCCCAGACCTCCTAACCCCCCCTCGCCACCCCCAGCCCCTCACCTTCCGCGTAACACCCGGCTCCAGGAAGCTGCGCAGTTTCTGGATGTAGGCATGAGGGGGGCTCTTCACCTGGAACCGCTCCTGGGAGGGGACGGGGAGGATTGGTGACACCGGCATGGCAGCACAGCCCCCCCCAACTCGACCCCCCATGGTGCCCCAAGCCACCTGGTCACAGATGAGGTCCCACTTCTTCTCGTTGTCGTACTGGCGCAGAAGCCGGGCTTTGTCTGGGGGTAGGTTCATAGAGCTCTGGGGGCAGATAGGGAGGTGTCACCCTGGGTGACACTGGGACGCTGCCCCCCTGAGGGCACCCAGTCCCATGGCACAGCCAGGGTGTCCCCCCCAGGACACCCGGACCTATGGCATGGCCAGGGTTCCTAGCACTGGGAAGCACTGGTGGGCACCAGGCCACACAGATGGCACAGGGACAACAGTGCCACCAGCGCCACGTGCCAGCTGCCAGCAACACCAAATCTTCCCAGCACCAATGCATCCTTCCTGTCAGCACCCGCTTCCTCGCCGGCAAACCACAGCCTCCTCTCCCCAACCGCGGTGCGAAGCACAGCAGCAGTGTGCTTCACCGGGGCACTGGGCATCTTCAGGGGGGACCCCAGGGACCACTGGTGCAGGATGCGGCCCGGGGCACCGCTATCACCAAGGACACAAACGGAGTGCCACAGTGGAAACCGGGAATGGCCACAGGCTTGGGGCTGCCCCGGTGGGCAATGCCACCCCAGTGGGCGATACCACCTTGGCCAGGCAGCTCCTGGGCAGTGCCGTTAGCAGTATCCGGCCCCCGCCGCAGCCAGGAGGTGCCAGCACTCCACCCGCCCCTGTGGAAGCTAAAATTATCCCTGCGCTGGTCATCCCGGCCCCATGGAGCCGCAGAAAACTGGGGCCGAGCCTAGGCAAGGCCGTGTGCCCCCGGTGCGGGGAACAGTCCCAAGGGAGCAGGGATGTCACCACCAGGATCGGGTCCCCCCAAAATTGCCTTGGGGACAGGGACAGTGCCTCCCTCCCCATGGGGCCAGGCTTATTTGGACACTGTGGCCTATGGCAAAATCATGGCCTGCGGGGACGCCCTGGGGATGGAGGTGGCAGGGCCGAGACACATGGAGGCCCTGGGAGGGGGCAGGGGGCACCGGGGGGGCTTTGAAGCAAACCGCCCTCGGCTTCCCCGCCGCTCAGCTTCCTGCCTTTGTGGTAGGAGCGGGGCCGCTCCCGGCCGGGCACTTCCTCCGCCACCGCCCCCCCACCAGGGACCACCCCCTCCTGGGTGGCCCAGGACTGAGACACCCCCCAGGAACCGGGGGCTACCGGGGGGTTGGGGAACACTCGGGGACTGATCCTGCCCCTTTGGGGGCCGCCGGCGCTGCAGCCCCATCACATGATGAAATATTTTCCTCCCTGGCAGTAGCCAGGACAGCACCAGGCGACGCTGACGCTGAGGGGGGAGCGGATTTTAGGGGTGGAGGGACAGGAGGAACCCCAATGCCGCCACCCACAAATCGACCCCCCCCCAGCATCGGCCGGCAGGATGCATCCCCCCCGCCACCGGCCCCACAGGGACCAGCTGCCGCATCCGCCCTGCGTGGGATGCAGGGACAGGCAATGGCCCCACCAGCGAGTGCCACTCGCCACCAGCAGGACAGTCCCACACTGGGGGTGCCCATGTCCCCCAGTACCCCCCGGTTCCAGCTCCCAGAGCCCCACAGGGCCATGCTCGGCATTTCCTGCCCGGACATGGCTTCTGCTGGTTACAGCCACCACCAGGACAGCGGTGCCAGGCACTGGGGCCTCTGTGCCCTGGGTGTCACTGGCCATGGTGTCCCAGTCGGTGTCCTCCCCCCCCAAACAAAGCCAGAGCCATGCCAGCACTGTGGATGGGCCACCCCATCATGGGAGGGCCACGGGGCTGCGCCGCAAGCCACGCGCTGGCGGGACACAGGGGCCCCCACGGCATTGGTGGCCCCAATGGCACCAGGGTCACAGTGTGGGGACAGGGTCTTGGCTCGGGAGGGCCATGGGATGGCACCACAGCCTCGGCCGGTGACCGCTGCGGGAAGGCCACCGCCTCAGCTGTGATAGCAGACCGGGGAACACGCAGGGCAGCCGTACCTATGAGGACCCCCACCCCCACGGGGACCCCGACAC